TTTTTTTTCAGTGCTTTGTATAAAACCKAGAGCCTCATAGTCTACCCCTGAACTCCACCACTGTCCCTACTATTTTTGAACTATGTGTATATTTGCATGTTTAAAAAACAAAACAATTTAATKTTAATAAGTGACACAWCAAATATCCACTTGATTTCTAGTACACAGAGAATAATCTCAAATTCTTTAATGTGACAGATAARAAATTCCACATTCTGAACCTCATTTATCTTTTTAGCCTCTCTCCTGCTGTTTCATGTAATATATCCTAGTCATAACAATGTAGTTTCCAAAATTCCTATTTTCTGTGAAACACATGCCTCTATATACATTTTCACTTGTTTCATCACCTGAAAAATGCCTTCATGGATATGCAATAAAAATCAACTAATCTAATGCAAGCAAAGTATCAACAACATAAAAACTGCCTGGTACAGTGGCACATGCCTGTAATCCCAGTGGCTCAGGCAGCTGAGGCAGGGGGTTTGAAAATTCAAAGCCATCCTCAGCAAATTAAAAAGGGCTGGGGATGTGGCTCAGTGATTAAGTGCCCCTAGGTTCAATCCCTGGTACAAAACAAAACAAACAAATAAAAAACCTCATTAATTACTACTTTTGGAAATAATAAACAAGGTGATTTGACCAACTCTCACTCTGAGGACAAAATTTAAATACCAATAATCCCATTGGAAATAAAGAACAAAAAAAGGTAAGTATGTTAACAAGCCTAAATTGATAAAATAATATGCTATATTAAACAATGACAATATTGGAAAGTCTTATGAGTTCTTAAATATGAGAAATATAAATTATTGAATAGGATAGAAAGCAATCTTCTCTGGGAAGTCCATATTGTACAGCTCATGACAGGTCAAAGATTGGAGGTACCATCTATTTAAAGTTACTAACATATGGAATTACACTATTAATTTAGAATCTGTATATTAAGTATAAGCTTTTAATACTTATCAACTGAAATATAAGAACCCACATAAAATCAATGTACTGGTTTTCTACTTAATTTTTAAATTCTTCAAAATCTTACCACTGTATGAAAGCACTTGACACACACAAAATTTCACCTACCCTTTCTCAATCCCGTCATCCTTTGAAGAAACTAGATACAAAGATTCATTCTTCAAAGGCTTCTGAGTTGCTGTTTTTACTCTAGGTAATTTCTTGGCAGATTTAGGAAGTTGTAATAAACTGAAGTCCTCTTTCTAAAAGTGGTAAGATAATGAACAAAATCAAAAGTGAGCAAAATGGAAAAAAAATAGAGAATAAAACATCATTCTGTACACAGACCTCAAATTTCTTTTGATCACTAGAGGACTTTTCTTTCACTGTACCCCCTTACCATGTTTCTTACTAAAATGGAAATTTTCTCCTTCCCCAATTCCCAGTTTTATGCAACCCGCAGAGTGAAATGTCATTACAAGTTAGATTTAAGGAAAGAAAAGAAGAGCCAAAAAATTGTATGTCCTGACTCTACTGCTGTGAAAGCAGAATCTGCTGGAGGAAGCTGGAGGAAGAACTTGACACTTAAAAACTGTCTATGAAGATGACGACACACACGGAAGAATACTGATGATGTTAAAAGAAATAATCAATATAAAAGTAGAAATGCATTAAAATGAAAAATTCATAAGATGCCTATGAGAAAACAAATAATAGTTACATAGAAGGAGATAATATCAGAATGATTTGTCTCCTATTTCCAAATTTATAGTTTTATTGTTTTTATATTTGTGATATTTTATTATCCAGAACTATAAAGTGTATATATACTCTACATACCTAACAACTACTAATAATTTTTAAGGATTCTACAAGCAAAATTATTTGCCTAAGTATGTTCTACATATAGATTCCTAGATATCAGGGCTCCTAATCTCCTTTAGTAATCCAGAACACAGCATGACATTAATCAAACACTCAATAAAAGAAAGGCCCCCATAGGAAGTTGAGCTTAAGTAAGAGTGGTCCACTTCATGCTTTAAATATAGCCCTTGCTGCTCTGCCACTGCAACTTATTTTTAAAATGGACAAGTAGCTTTCTCTTTCTCTCTCCCGTTCCTCCCTAATCTCTCCCCTTCCCTATCTATGGGAAAATAGGACTACGTTTCTTCCCCTGTTTAGGCAGATTTATCTGTCCTTGAGTACACACTCCCCACAGGAAGGAAGTAATCCAGACTTTGGGGAGAGCAATTAACAAGTAAATTACCACTCCAACAGAGAACACGTGGAAGGTAGCTTTTGAATCATCTCTTTAAAGCCCCCTGTTCCTGCTGATGGGCAGAATCACAGTGTTTAGGATCGGAGTCCCCTGTGTTCCTCCCTTGATAGCAAAGCAAAAAACCTTTTTTCCTTTTTCCCCAAACTGTGCCTTTGTTACTAGATTAGCAATGGGGACAAAGACCAAGCTTTCAGTGATACTTACAGTTAAACATAGAAAAGTAATCGAATTTATAGAAAAAGAAAATAGAAGTGTGGTTTCCAGGAGGGGAGGGAGAGTAGGGGGCATTGTCTCCAATGGGTGTGCCGCCAGACTTGCAAGATGCAAAGTCTGACACTCTGTTCCACAAAAGTGGACAGCCACGACACAAGTATTAACTGTACGCTTAAACATAGCAGAGATGATGTCATGCCATGTGCTTTTTACCATACACATGCACACACAAAATTATAGTGTATCATACAGAGAGAAACCCAAGTTAGAGTTTTTGAGCTTGCTGGCTTGGGTGGAAGCTAGAACAGGGATGGGGGGGGGGCGGGGGTGGGAGCACGGACAAGAGAGCAAATAGAATTGAGGAGGAAGGTAGAGGAAGAAACTGTACCATGACTCTGATGGTGGTTATACATTGTACACTTTTGTCAAGGTTCACAGAACTATACACTGAAAAGGGCATCTTTTATTGTATAGGAATGATATCTTAATTTTTGAATGGGAAAAAAAAAATGGCACTGAGTGCTTTCTACCAAGGAGAGAGGGTGAGATCAGAAAGCACTGTCAAGCTACAAAATATCCAGGACAACAGATGGTGCTAATTCTCTGGAAGCCAAAGGCAACAGAGGAGAATCCATGTTTCTACCACTTTTTCACACAAGCTAATCTCTCTCCTTTCCTTTGGCAGTGTTCACTTATTCAAGGTCCTTTTCTTAACCACATCTTATTTTCTTTCCCCAGTACCTCTCCATTTGAAGTTGTTGTTTATGCAAATGTTTGTATGCTCTCAGTGATATGTTCCCTGAAGTCTGCCTCCAAGAAGTGTGCTCACCTAGTAACTGGGTTGCTGAGTCACATGGGCGAACCAGGAGGAGTAATCAGTGGAGTGGCATACAGTATAGCCACAATATGCAAAGGAAGCCAGGAAGAAGTAAAAACAATGGATGAGCAAATACTTGTGCACTAAAGACACACTAACACCCAGTGTGGTCCCCCCAACGCAGCCTCATGAGAGGCAGCCATTTAGAAATGAAAGCCTTGGGCCCACCCCAGAGCTACTGAACCCTGATCTCTGTTGGAGACCAGGAATCTGTTTGAACAAGGTCTTTGGTGATGCTTAGTGTGCCAAAGCTTGAGAACTAATAGCCAGTAGCTGTGCTTCCCATACAAGTCACCTGGGAATCTTTTAAAAAGGCAGGTTCTAAACCATGGCCCTAGTATTCAAGGAGGGTTGAGAACCCTCCAAAGCAACTCCCTGATTTTTCAGTGACCCTGATACATTCCAGATCAATTAAATCAGAATTTCTGAAAGTAGGATTCAGGCATTGGTATGTTTTAAAATTTCTCCATGGACAGAAGAATTGTAATGTCTCTCTAGCTCTAAAACACTATTTGTAGAAGTAAAACATTCAAAACCTCATTAAACATCTTCCTGCCTTTAAAAATAAGATATCCTGAATATAAAGAAGAGGCTGTGTATAGTCAATGGCAGTCAACATTCTGCAATACCTTTAAAGCCAACTAAGATTAATTAGGCTTCTTATTATTGAAATGAAGGTATAGTTATTGCTTCTCTGTGCCAAAATACAAAGGACTATTTATTTATTCTATTTAAAGTCAGTTAATTTTTCTTCTCTTTTCAGATTTTCTCCTTATCTTCTACATATGCAGGTAGACCCAATACTTTTATTTTTATGTGATGTTGAGGATTGAACTCAGTGCCTCACACATGCTAAGCACTCTACCACTGAGTCATAGCCCCAGCCCTCCCTTAATCTTTTTATGCTTTTAATCTTATTCTTCCTCAGATGATGGAAACTCACTGCCTATAATTCTGCTGTTGCAACTTCCCATTCATTCTTTCAATTTACTAACCAGTAATTACATGTCAGGCCCTGTTTTCTGGCACTAGGGACAAACAGGTAACAAAGAAAAATCCCTTATATTCTATAAGAGGTAAAACACAGTAAACAAACCGATCACATGCTCATAAGCACAAAAAAAGCAAAATAAGCAGGGTGAAGGGCACACACAGAGATAGATGGATGTGTATGGTATTCTACATAAATGCGCATACAGAAGAGTCAAGGATTAAGTGATATTTGAGCAGACATCTAAAGGAGATGGGGGAGGCCACGTGGACATCTGGAGGACAAGTGCTTCAAGCAAAGAGAACAGTAGGTGCAAAGCCTGAGGTTTTTACATGCTGTATCAAAGAGGAAAAAAAAGGGGGGGGGACCAGTGTGGTTAGGATAGAGTAAGTTGGAGAAGAGGGTAGGAAACAGGGTCATCAGGACGGCAGGGGCCTGTATAGCTACACAAAGAATGGATTTTATTATGGGAGAGGAGGCCAATGGAGAGTTTGAGCATATGAGTGACATAATCATACATTTTAAAACCATCACTTTTGCTGCTTTGTAGGCTACAGATTGTAGATTTTTCCATTTCCTAACTGTGGCAGCATGTCCATTGGGACCCACCAGCACTCCAATAAAGCATGTGATAAAACCAATAGGAGGATCAGTGTACAACACTCAAGCATGGATATTTAACTGAAACCAAAGAATAGACTGGACACCCTACCTGGACCTCAGTTATATGCGGAATGCAAGATTTAGGTCTTAATGGCAAGAGGGTTGCCATTTGTGGAAAAGGATCAATATCTTTCCTTGGTTTCTCTTGACGGAGGTGCCAGAATTTCAGTTCAGCTGTAGCATGTTTTGTTGAGGGTGAATGAGTAACACAAAATCTTGGTGCCCTGTTTATTGGAAAAACAAATTTAAGATTAGAGATATTAAGATTAAATTAGACAATAAGCCTCAAAAACAAAAGCCTACAAATAATCTTCAATCAACAATCAATCTTAGTATATCCCTTTTCTAATAACTTCTATTCTTCTGCTCCCTAGCCTTAAAAAATATTTTTCTATATGTCAACTGCCTGTGATTCTTTTTGCTCATATAAAAAGGCAATTGTGCAAGAAAATATCATAAAATAATCTGTTATTAGCTGATTGATAAGAAAAAGAAAAATGTATTGATGAAGGAAGATTTAAATAACATATTTTCTAGTAAAATAAAAAACATACTGTGATAATTTTAAAGCAGTTTAGTATTTATAGTACCAATAAAAAATTGGTAGAATGGGGAATTAACATTTTTAGACATTATAAACATTCTTTTGTAATGCTCAGATATGCTACTAAAGTGGGTTATGATTCAAGTTATCTATTTGCAAGTCTTAAATTTGAAGATAGTAATTAATTTTACAACAATTTATATAATTGAAAGACCAATTCTACTGCAAGAAACTTAGGAAGAAGAATGTCTGGCACGATGTCAAGGCCACACTTAATTGGTTGGATATCCTGGTACTCAGTCTGTGGGTTAACTATTGTACACAGGGTTAACTCCAGCTGTCAAGGCCTGTGGCTAATTGGTTCTTGGACCAGGTTTTCCCCCAGATGCCACAGCCCAAGGACTAATTTTTATTCCATATTGCAGGACCTGGCAGAAAATTACTTCCCTTTATGATAGGAAGAAGGTAGATATCTTCTCAGTGAGAACAAAGCAAGAGTGGAGGAGAATCCACAGTCCAAAAGTAGCTTAGAATCAGGAAGCATCCCATGTAATCTCTACGGTCATGGTCATTCTGTCCTACATTTCAGAAGCTTTATTTAGCACACTTGGAGATATCCAAAATTACTTCCTTTCACATGTCAATCAGTAAGTGGGCATATCCAGAAATGCCTTATCAAATACATCACACATCTGATGGCCAGGAAATGTAGGTGCCTCAATTTTATGATTAATATCATTAAAGTATCTTGATTTGACTCCATAAATCCTTACTGCCCTTACCATTATAATTTTACACTCATTTCATTCACATAACATTAGTCTTTGATTAGCCATTATGTGAATTCACCCAATAATATGGGCCATTTCGCAGTGAGTCCGAAACTAGTACTGTACTATTTTTGATGCTGCCATTGTATAAGTTCTTGTGTACATTTGTACACACCTTAATTCTCAAGTTCTTGTGAGTGGGAGAAATCTATTTACAGTGTATGTATGTGTGTATGAGTACTACTCAGAAATACAAAGCAACAAACTCTTGATACATACAACTTAGATATATCTCAAGACAATTGCATGAGTTTTTAAAAGCTAATGGCAAAAGATTACATATAATTTTATTTACTAGTGGTTTCCAGGAGTTAGGGATAAGGGGAGAGAGAGAGGGTGCGGGGTGCTTATAAGAGGGCACTACAAAGAAAGCTTGTGATATCCTAACTGTTCTGTATCTTGACTGTGCTGGCACATGCATAGATATACAAAGTGAGAAAGGAACTAAATACACACACAAATGAGTACATGTAGAACTGGTAATATGTAGAAAAGATGGGCATATCCTATCAATATTAATCTCTTCACTGTGATATTGTACTGTAATTATGCAAGATGTTACCATTGGGATAAACTGGATAAAATTTCCATGTGAATATACAATGATCTCAAAACAAAAAGTGTAATTAATAAAGGAAAGCCCCCCCGTAGAGGTAATGTTTTATTAAGTTGGATCGTGTGTGCACATGTACCCACTATAGTATAATTTATACCTTTCTGTATGTCTTAAAATATCAAAGAATAAATTTTCTGACCAAAAGAACAGAACATTAAACATAGAAAAGTACAAAGMATGTACATAATCTAGAATACTTAGGTGGGAGATGATGTCAGAGAAGTGGACAAGGAACAAATCATGATTACCTGATTTACTTTTATTTATTTATTTATTTATTTTGGTACCTGGGATTGAACTCAGGGGCACTCGATCACTGAGTCACATCCTTGGCCCTATTTTGTATTTTATTTAGAGACAAGATCTCACTGCACCTCACCATTACTGAGGCTGGCTTTGAACTCGCGATTCTCCTGTCTTAGCCTCCAGAGCCGCTGGCCTGTGCCACCACACCCCTCCTGATTTGCTAATTTTTAAAAATATCTGAATTTTTCTTTGGGAAAATCAGTGAGATTTAAAGCAAAGAAATTACACAATCAGATCCAACAGTTACAGTGGACACCATGCTGATCCTCAAACAGCACACATTTTAATCTATACCGTGTCTGTTCGCTTTTCCTTGCTACCAGTCCTTTGAGTCTTAAGTGAAATGTGCCCTCTTCTCTGTGCTAAGCAGGGACCACGTGGTGTACATTCACCATATTTCCTATTATTTAATTTCACCTGTCCGTTCCTCTCACGGGACCATGACTCCTACCTAGTTGAACAGGTTTTATCCTTTATCCTTGGCAAGCGCTTGGCCTAAAGGAAATGCTCAAAAAATGTTCATTGAGATGATAAAACTGTAACATTAATTTTATACACACACACACACACACACACACACACACCAATATTATGGGATACTGATAATAAAAGAGTAAGGTATAGAAGGATGTGTTCACAAAGTTAAAAGAAAACTTAAGTCCAATCTCATTATGGATTTAGTCACCCAAATATTCCAATTACTTAAAAGTTAAGTATTTTTAAGAGGGTTAAAGATTAATAATGTTATTTTAAATTTCCATGAATTATAGGCCAATCTGACAAAAGCCATAACTCATAAAATAGCCTAAGAAAAGTGAAAGTAAAAAACTTCAATTCACATTATTTTTCTTACCAATACAGAAGTAAAGGTTTTAAAACCTCAGACTGAATATTTTTTAAATGTTCTTCAGTCCAGTGAGATCCATCTAACAGTTTAAATTTTGATAAGATTTCTGCAGAAAGGTAGCAATCTCCGCTGCTCACTAGATAGCATTTTTTCATCTTCTCAAGATGTCTGAAATAAAACACATACCTACATATACACACATATTGACACAATATTCTATTAACCAAATGTGTTCCAGACAAATAATGGACGATCTCAAAACCAATATAGAAATACCACACATTTTTTTATGGTGATACAAATGTTTCTCACAGTTATGGGAATAACAGAAGGGCATCTGTGGGAGGCTGAATGGTTTTGCAAAGCTGTCCACATCCTGATACCCAGAATTTGTTAATTTATTACCTTACTTGGGGTAAAAGAGGCTTTACAGATGTATTTAGATGAGGACTTTAAAGAGATTATTTTGGATTATCAGGGTAGTCCCAATGTAATGACAAGAGTCCTTTAAAAGAGGGAAGAAGGAGAGACAGTCACAAAGATGTGAGGACAAATAGAGAGGTCGGGGGCAAGATGCCATGCTGATGGTTTTGAAGATGGAGGAAGAGGCCACAAACTCAGGAATGGAGGTGGCCTTCATAAATTAGAAAAGGCAAAGAAATGGATCTCCCCTCCCCCACCCAGAGCCTTCGGACCTCCAGAACTATAAGAGAATAAGTAAAATTTAGTTGCTTTAGGCCACAAAATATAGGTATTTTTTGTGGCAATAATTGAAACAGTATTAATCCTGAAAAACCTATGTAGGTTACTTGCATGTAACTTCCCTGATAGGTCTTGAAAAGTGGTAATGACCTTCACTCCATAATCAGTCAGGTCACACTCCATAACCAATTATGGTGCCCCAGCTCTTACAACTATAAGTTCTTTAATCATTAAAATAACTAGAATAATCCTATCACTCAGCATATACTCAGTTGAATCTTAATAGGAATTGCAATCTACTGTAGATAATCGGCTTCAGAGAAGATCAGGAAACTACAGTCAAGATAAGGACTTTCCTAAAATAGTGTCCTCTTAAAATTCTCAGACTTCCGGTAACCTATATGGAGCTAACCTGAACCCCATTAGATCTCCAGGAGGCTTTCCAGTGGAGAGACCCATTCAGATATCCAGCTACTTGGAATCAGAGCTAAGTTCATGCAATCTGTTAACCAAGGAGTTTTTACTAGGAACAGGCCCTTACACTGGCATGAATAGCTCTACTATGCAAGTGTGCTTAAACAACTGATAAGTTTTTTGTCTAAAACATTTAACATCATTGGAATGTTATAAAAACTTAAGTAGAAAATTTTAGAGTAGTTCTACAATTTATGGGATGAAACATTATGCAAACCCAAATCATTTCTATATTAGTACCTGAAAGCTATGAAAACAGAACATTTGTGAAATCAAAATGTAGTCTTATTATAAAAGAAATTTTATCATTATTCATTCCTCTAGAAGCGTAAGCTACATTTTTATATTTATTTCAGTCTTTCTACTTGTCTTAACTAACCCAAATATTCTAGAATTTGTTTTTGAAACTATTGAAAAATAAAAAATAGAAATACCTTTGATGTCTTCCAGGGTCCTTTAGAACTTTCAACCTTTCAATATCCATCCATAGCCACAAATACTTTTCCCCTAATGTGCCCTTCATAAATTTCTTAAATCTTTCAAACTCCTTTCTATTGCCAATGTCATAAGTTCTGTGAGACATACACCAGTCAGCCCTGCTCTCAGGTCCAGTGCTCTCACTCGTTGAACTTAAACTTGTTTTTTCTAATAATATCTCTTCTGACTTTTTTTCCTTTTCAGTTTGAACTGGTTCAGCTAAAACATTCTTGCCAAAGAAAGGATAGAAACAATCAGGAAACGACACTTGATCTACTTTGTCGAAATCTATATAGTCTGGGCTTTCTGTGAGAGGCTGGCCAGTAATTTGCTGAGTGGCTGCTCTTAAAACAGAGTTTATAAACAAGTTTAAAAATTCTTCACACGTGGAGAAGTGCAATGTCAACTTTTCATTAGCCGAACCCCGTTGCTTCTCAAGGTATACTCTCAGAAGAGCATGAGAGGGAGTATCTTTTAGAGATACAGACCCTTCCTCCTCTTCTTCAAATTCAGTGATTTTAGAGAGGCTTTTTTTGGTCCTGGGGTGAACTCCATCATCAAAGATAAAACTCTCTGTATTAAATGATAAAGTGTGGTTAAGTTAGATATGAGACAAAATTGATATTGTTACATAGATGTTATAGAGCCTGCGTGGCAAATGACTTTATCACAGGGATGAGCACATGGACCAGTATTTTCAGAAGGATTCTGAAGCCACATTTGGAACCAGTAGGGGAAAAAACTACCAACAGTTGCCTTCCTTGTCTTCCTTGAACATGGCAAGGGAGGCAGATGGACTAAATATTTGATACTCCTAACCCAGAGAATATTCAAAAAGACATTGTATGCTTTTAAAATTTAATATTTCGGACTGATATAGAATGACAAACATAAAGACCAAATCTATTAGAAAAGTAGAAAAATCTATATTAATAATTATATGTGCATGTTGTGTAATAAAGGAAAATTAGCTGCCATAGATGATGAGACCACAGATGATCAGACAAGAACTGGAATCATTAATTCTTTAAAATTCACTATTTTAGAAAAAAGATTCAAATCCTAACATTCTTACAACCTATCATTAAAGTTACAAAAGAACAAGGCACTTATGAAGGCTTACAAATGGATTATTTTTACATTCTTTCTAAAGACATGGTATTTAGCTCCCATTTTTCTCTCAGAAATTAGTGAATATCAGATGACAGCACTGTATTTCACATGGTCAGTATAGCCACAGACCAGGTGACGGTTGTCATCTGTACCCACCCTTGATGAATATTTCCTTAGTTACTAGATTTCAAATCGCAATACACTAGAAATATTTCACTTTAATTTTTATTGAAAAAAATACCTATATACACTGCATTTTCCTACCCAATATCATAGACTTTATGAAACCTCCAGGAGTTTCTGGGCTCAATCCCACAGAGTGGGAGGGAGCATATGACGCAGACATCTCTGCTCACCATCCTCCTGTGGACCTTGTTTTTCATATTTACTATCTATACTTTCCAATATTATACTTTAGCATTTTGAAGAAATAGCAAGAGACCCATAAATCCAATATTAAGGAGGTTATGTTCCTCTTTACCTAGACCTAGATTCAATTCTAGAGTATCCAGATTTATCTTCTCCTAAAGTTGCACATACCTTTCAGAAGGTTTAGAGTTAATACACCCTTACAGTTAGTAACTGTTTAAGTGAATTCCTGAACTCTTTTCCTGAATCACATCTAGATTTTTTCCTCTAATAATAATATAGCTAATAACTTCCATTTCTAGAAGTTTCCTTTTTTTTATAGTTGTTTTTGTGGAACGTTTGTCTCACCCACAAAAGCACCTATAAAAGCAGTAGAAATTTATTTGCTTTTCGAGGGAAAAAAATTGTCTGAACTTAAAAAAACAGAAGAGAAATTCAATTTCTATAAATGACTTCACTTTTAAGAAGACAGAACTATTGTACCCACTTTATTGCAAAGGCTTAATAATAAGAACTTATGAACTGTGATAGGAAATAAAGACAAGATAAACATTTATCAATTGTAGATTAGATGCCAAGCACAGGGCACGCATTTTCTATACATTTGGCACGTATCATTAGTCTAATCTTATAGATGAGAAAAACAAGAAGTGGAATAAAATCATAAAAAATTCACACAACAAATAAGTATTAGAGTTGGGTTCTTTTAAACCCTCCCCTTTCACCATCCCAACTTGCTTCTCAAGAAGCAAGAGGAAGTGAAGAAGAGGCATGGGTGGTGTGGATAATGTTTTCTCTTCAGTCACAAGTCCTATAAGACTAGAACAAACAACAAACAAGAGAAGCTCTGAATCAATCTTATCCTTTTCTGCTTACCAGTAATGGTCGAAATCGCTGGAGATTCAATTGTGCTGTGGGTTATACAACAGGGTAATGAAAAGGTACATACAGTTTCCTGACTTTGTTTTGCTAGTGTAAACCAATCTTTTGTTTGAATGAAGGAAGCCTAGAAAAAATTTAACATAAGATTAACAGTAATCCTCCAATTGCCAACCTGGACAAATCATTAAATAATATTCAATTTGTCAAGTACAATATGTAATGGAAAAATTATTCTGTGAAAAAAAGAAAAATTGTACTAAAATGCATTAAGCAAGAGAATAACTTCAATCCATATTTTTTTTTCATATCACATAATCAAAGGGAAAAAATGAGCACAATACCATCAAATTCTCCTCCACACTTACTCTCAGGCTATTGCTGACTAAAGCTGGACATGAAACCCTCCTTTCTGGATTTACTACATCCTTTGATGTATCTTTTGCTACCTCTTCTCATTTACAATGTGATAGACCTCTACTCTTAGCACCACTGGCAACCTCTCCAAACTTATCTGCCCCCTTTGCCTAAAACTCCATTTTTACAACTTTTCTTGGATTGGATGCTTCCTGCAGACTGATTGATTCCTGACTCCAACTGCTCCTTGGTCAGTTCTTCCTTTGCTTTGTGTATCCCAAGCCAGCTGGCCCAATTCCCAAGCTGATTTGTAACTTCTAGAACCCCAGCCCGTAAGAAACTCCTATCCCAGCTTTCCTGGGAAAATTCCTCTGGCTGCCTCTCTCTCAGAAATGTCATCTCCTATTTTTTTTCCTAGATAATCTAAGTTGTTTAACAGGAACAGCGAAGGGAGTGTCCTGCATTCCTCTCATTTCTCCTTTCCTCAATTGTCAGCTGGTGGGCACTCAGCCTAGCACTCAGAGAAGAGGCAGGGCTCAAATGAAAGAGTGTCCCCTGTCTATTATACAGAATTAGCAGGACAAGTCAGGCCACACAATGAGACTAAAGCAAGAGAGAAAATGGAGAAGTGCCTCTGCATAGCCACTACCCGTCTTGGGAGGAAGGCTCCTTGTGCATGAAAGCTTTGAAAGACTAAGAAGTCACCTTTGTTCCCTCTTTTCTTTAAAACCAGGTCATTTAATATTAATTATATGTTGCTCAATATTTACTTATAGAGCTACTATGCTTCTAAGCAGTATCTTAAGTACAGAGAGTAGGCCAAAAATTGAGGGAGAATAATATACCAATGTCCCTGCTGTTTCAACTGCATAAAAAGGATAAGAGAGTAGAGGACAGGGGAGAAAGAAATCATCAGTTGGTCATCAGTCAATTAGTCCACTTGACACTTTTAAGAGGGGCCAATTGTGTTTAGATGGTGTAACTAACGGCTCAAAGAAATATTACCAATTATCATGAAGATTAATTCATATTTATAGTCATTTAAATAATTTAAGAGTCAAAAATTATGAATCCTCAAAGTTCAAAGGCTATGAAAAATTATGTGATGTAGTTAAAATATTCATCAAGTGAACAGAAATGAGTTTTTTTAATCTCAGAAAACAGCAAAAGTAAACTAGCTTGGATTTTTACTTCCTATATTTGATTAATTTCACAAAAAAGGAGTCAGGACAGTCTCCTGGATTGATCTTCCCTTTGCAAGTTTATTGGCCTCAACTATCAGTCCATATTTTATGACATTCATGACATTTCTGTAATATATAAATTTAGAAAAAAATGCTTAAAAATAAGTATAAGAGAGAAGAAAAATATGCCTTTAGTACATCACTAAGCATTATCGAGTAGAAATAATGGAACTGGTATAATTTTAAACATTCTTGATAAAGATTACTGATAGAAATGCCCCAATGATATAATTAGCTAGAAGATACACATGGGGAAAAAAAGTTCAAATACCATAAGTCTATCCATTCCAACACAGACAAAAAAGAGGTTTCCTTTTATCTGACATCTTTAATCAATAGGAAGTGCCTGTCTAAAAAAAAGAAACTGTATTGAAACGAATTTGGAGTCAAGTCCTAGCTCAGCAGAAAAAGTGCCACAATTGATTAGCAATGTCTGTCCTGAATGAGCACTAAGAAAGCAACAGCACATGGAGCACATATTTGCCATTCCTGATTTTGTATAGAATTGTTTATCAGAAGCATATTCCCTGAAATAAGATCTGATTAAAATTAGAGGCTAAATGCTGCAATGATCCAAAAGGACATTTGATTCTAGGTTCTATCTCTTCCAATGCATTCATATAGTTCCACATTTCTACAATCACGGAGGCTAAATTTTTATCTCATAGCAGTTAAAAAATAATGCATTTTACTACTAAGGAATTATAGCAGTACAGGGGTGAGAAGATCCAATTCATCATCTTTTTGTGCAAAAGTTAACTGAATCCAAATAACAATTTTGGAATGAACAATTAAATCAGGGGTAATGCATGTTATGCTTGCTTCCTGGGTGACACTGAGATGTTCTTTAGTCTTGGCTTTTGTTACTTCAGATGTGAAAGGATACCTTAATCTAACTGTATTTTAAGTGAAAGAATAMATAGAAAATGAGTACACATAAATCCCCAAGAACTATTGTTAAATATGCTTTAAATGGGGTTACATTTTTTTTTTGGTGGGAGGGGTAGGGGTGGCTAGGGGTACTGGAGATTGAACCCAGGAGCACTTTACCACTGAGATATAACCCAGTCTTTTTATTTTTCATTTTGAGATAGAGTCTCACTAAGTTGCTGACACTAACCTCAAACTTATGATCCTCAGGCTCCTAAATTGCTAGGATTACAGGTGTGTGCCACTGAGCCTGGCTTTAAAAGCTTTTGAAATCATCTTCTCTGCTTAAGTAGTATAAATGACATACATACCTATGAAACAAAAAGTTTCATTGAAGTTCTATCATGAAAAATTACTAATACTTTTACCTCGCCAAGAGAAATATAGAACTTTTTCAGAACCAGGAGATCGTCTTCTTCATCCTGAGGAGGCGGCGGAGTAGGCAGTTTTCTCATGATCCAAGGAGAAGTATCTGCACCAAGTGTGAAAGTCATACCTGACTGGCTCCATCTTACTTGTGAGACTAACTTGGCTAACCTGAAATGAAGAAATCATGAATTTTTAAATAAGTTTCAAATATGGTAGAATTCAGGAAAAAGAAACCCCTAAAATTTCATTTTATGTATTCTCCCCTTGTAGCTCTACAGGATGATTCTCTTAAGCTCTGCTAAAACCAATGGCTTATTTATCAAACCACTCATTACTTAATATTTTTCTATTCTAATTTATTTTATTTTAAAAATGGTTGTTCTAAGCAAAAGTCAAATTTTAGTATAATTTCAGAATGCTTAGGTATTTACAGTTTAAAAATCAGGGAACATAAAGGAAAATCTTGGCCCTGTATTGACATGCTATCATTTATTTATTTATTATTTATTTATTTCCAGGGATTAAACTCAGGGGTACTCAACCACTGAGCCACATCCCCAGTTCAATTTTGTATTTTTATTTAGATAGGGCCTCACTGATTTGCTTAGTGCCTCACTTTTTGCTGAGACTGGCTTTGAACTCATGATCCTCCTATCTCAGCCTCCTGAGCTGCTGGGATTATAGACGTTCGCCACTATGCCTGGCTGACATGCTATCTTTTTAATGTCACACTAACATTCATTTGTAAGCACCCACACATACATACCATTATCACCATAGATAATTTTAAAAGTATAATGATCAAAGAAGTATAATTGAAGTACATTGGTTAAGTGATGTTTCTGTGAAATCTCTTTGGAAAAGTTAAGCAATTTTTGTCAGTGGTCTCTCACTCTTATTCTATAGCAGGTGGATCCAACTCCATTGGAGTCAACGGCATACCATTTTATTAAGAAATCACAGAAAAAATGACTTTAGTTGAAAAAGTAGGTATTGAAAAATAGGTATACTAACAATAATAGATATATGAAACTCTAATACCTGTATTCAAAGTAGCAATCACTTTCTAGAAATGCTGGAAGTCTTTGTTTTTTGATCCACTTAATACCTTGTTCACGATTGAGACACTATTAGGAGAAAGTGAAAAAACGGTGTCAAAGAAAGTCACCTTTTAGGACAAYTGAGGCCTAATCATGAGAGCAATACTGATCTCCTGCTGTCATTAGGTACTCCACTCCTATCTCTCTGTACAAGAGAGAGCAATGACCCTGAGCCACAAATGTGAGGCAACTTCTTGCGTATAGTACCTCTTTCATTCTCTCAAAAACCCTGTATCAACTATTATCTCCATTTTATAAATTAACTAGTTGAATCCAGGAAAGTTAAGTAACTTATTGGAGGAGGAGGAAGAGGAAAGAGAAAAAAAGAAAAGCCAGTCAATTTTAATATTTCTACTCTCATAAAATAGGTTACGATAATCATAAACAAATCCAGGCCTGGTGGCATACACCTGTAATCCCAGTGACCTGGCCAAGGCAGGAGAATCTCAAGTTCACGTTCAAGGCGTCGGTACTTTAGTGAGACTTTATCTCAAAATAATATAAAAAAGGGTAGGGATATAGCCAGTGGCGGAGTGCCCGCTGGGTTCAATCCCCAGTACTACTACTACTACTAATAATACTAATACTAATACTAATACTACTACTAATAATAATAGTAGTAGTAGTAGTAGTAGTAGTAGTAGTAGTAGTAGCAATTATCATCATTATCAGAAACAGAAAAAGAACCACCAAGGAAACAATAAAGGCCACTGTAGTGTAAAATTTTTTTTTTGTTAAATATTAAACACTCCCAGGCACTTTCCTAGAGATACCAAGGCTATATTGTGGTGCCACAGTGCAGGATTCTGTGGGTGCCCACATACACACTCAACTCAGGAGATGTTTCCACAGAGCATGTCCTGCACTCTCTGACCTAAAGCATGACTAGCTAGGTTGTGGAAGGGAAAAGGGGACAAGTTTATACATTAGACCACAGGATGCAATCTGAGGGATAAAAGGAGGAAGGCTGGAGGAGCAGCTAGGGCCTGACTGTGAATAGTCTTAATTAATATTAAAGAATTTAGATTTTACCTTGAGGTTGTGAAGGCAATACAAAATTACTGAGGAGTTTTTAAGCTGTTATTCATCCTGAAAAACCTACTCACTGTTGATTTTAATTTTTCTTTATTCACTTTTTTCACAATTCTAAAGAATGTCAGTACTTCAACAAATGCCACCAAAAAGTAAAACCACCAATAAAACACACAGCTCAGTGACATATTCGTGTCTGCATTTGTGTGGCTTTAATGGACCATTTGCTACAACCTAGTTTTGCTGTGACAGTAGCATTAGATGTCAACACAGACCATTACTAACTCCATGAGGAAAGTGATTGACCACGGTAGTGCTACTGGCATCTGATAAGCCGATGTTCATGAGAATGCACATGTGCTCAATCAACATTGCTGACATTTGGCACAAAGTCATTAGGCTCTCGTGAATGGAAAACTTGGCATACAATGGTCTCCTCCTGTTCAGCAAAAACATCCACTTGGTTTCATCAAACACCATCTTCTGGGCAACAAAAGAATAGAAGAAAACTATGGAAATAGCCAGCACCTGAATAGTATAGCACCTTACTGCCTGCCTGCCTTGTGGCTTACAGTGAGATCTAAAAGAAATTTGGATCTTGCAGTTAGGAAGACTCCAAAGATGCTACAAACTGACAACCCTTCAGGATGCTGAAGTCTTCATTAGCAATACATTCAGTGGGTTAAAAAAAAAAAAAAAAATGCCAAGTCAGGGCTATGGCACAGGCCTGTAATCCCAGTGGCTGGGGAGGCTGATACAGGAGGATTGCAAGTTCAGAGCCAGCTTCAGGCACACAAGGCGCTTAGCAATTCAGTGAGACCCTGTCTCTAAATAAGATGCAAAATAGGGCTGGGGATGTAGCTCAATGGTCGAGTGCCCCTGAGTTCAATTCCCCTCAAAAATGCCAAACTGTGTATAAAGAGCAATATAAACCCTTTAGGAATTCTATAAGGTTGTCAGAGTAGTTAGTTCATCCAAAACCAAACTGCCTAATAATTAACTGAAAAATTGTTTACCTGCATATTTCCACCTTTTACAAAATATGGGCATCTATTTGACCCAAAAAGAAAAGTTTGAAAAAATAAAATTGATTTTTATAACCATTCTGGTAGATGTCAAGTGACATCTGGTAGTTTGGATTACATTTTCTCTATGACTAAAGATTGTTGAATATCTTTTCATGTGCTCATTGGACATTTATATCTTCTTTGAAGAAATGTCCATTCAAATTCTAGTCGGACTTTTAAATTGTCTTTTTAAAATCTCCCTTCTTATTGTTAGGTTGTAAGAGTCCTTTATAAAATCTACATACAAGTTTTCATAAAATATGTAATCTGGAAATATTTTCTCCAGTTGTATAGGTTGTCTTTATTGGTAGTCTTTTTTAGAGCATATTTTTTTTTAAAGTTTTTGAGCGGGTGGTACTGGAGATTGAACCCAGGACCTTGCACATTCTACACAAGTGCTCTACCACTGAGCTACATCCCCTTTTAATTTTTTTTTTTTATTTGAGACAGGATTTCAGTAAGTTGCCCAGGTTAACCTTAAACTTGCAATACTCCTTCCTCAGTCTCCTGAATAGCTGAGATTACAGCTGTGTGCCACTACACCTGGCTAAAAATTTTAAAATTTGATGAAGTCCAATTGATTTATTTTTTTCTTTTGTCACTTGTACTTTCCCCATCATATCTAAAAAAATAAACAATGCTTAATCCAAGATAATAAAGATTTATACCCATGTTATCTTCTAAAACATGATAAAAATTATCTTTTTTTATTCTTGCATTGCTGAATTCAATTTGCCTACCTTTTTTGAGGATTTTTGTGTCCACATTCATGAGAGATATTTGTCTGTCATTTTTTGTTTGTTTTGTGGTAGTGGGTATTGAACCCAGAGTTGCACTACCWCTGACAGCTTCTCCCTAAATTGCCAACGCTGGCTTCAATCTTGTGATCCTCCTACCTTGGCCTCCCAAATTACTAGGACTAAAGGCAAGTACCACCATACCCAGTTGTTTGTGGGTTTTTTTTTTCTTTTCCTTGAATTTTCTTTAGTGATAGCATCAGAATAATGTTAGCCTCATAAAATTGAAATGGAAATTGATCTCTCCYTTTTTTTTGGAAATTTTCATGAATTTGGTATTATTCATTACAACACTCATTACTAAATGTTTGATAGAATTTATCAGTGCAGCTGCTAGGCCTAGAGTTTCTTTTGGGGAAGATTTCTAACTGCAGATCCAATTCCTTTAACACAGGGCTACTCAGATGATATGTTTTAAAAATGTTTTTATTAGTGCATTATAGTTATATGTAATATTGGGATTCATTTTGACTTAATCATACACGTGTGGAATATGTGCTCCATTTTAGTCCTAATACTTCCTCTTTCCCTCCCCCCTTCTCCCTTCTCCTTATTCTCCTTCCTTTACTCTACTGATCTTCCTTCAATTTATTTGTTATTCTTTAATTGGTGCTTTATAGACATATATAAAATCAGAWATAATTGTTGTATATTCACATACCATAATTTAGCCAATTTCATTCTGCAGTTCCTCCCTTTTCCAGTCCTGCTCCCTCCCCCTCTTTTATTTAGATTATCTTCATCCCCTTGAGTGAGCATTAATAATTTGTGTCTTTTGAAGAATATAGCCATTTAATTTAAATGATTGAGTTTATGTAAAGTTTTTTGTAAAATTCTCTTATTTTTCTTTGAACATCTATAAGATTTGTAATGATATCCTGTCTTTCATTTCTGATAGTAGTTATTTATCTTTTGTCTTTTCATTTTTTATCATCTAGCTAAATGATTATCAATTTCATTGATTTGTTTCCCAAAGAARAAGAATTCATTTTCATTTGATTTTCTCTCTTGAATTTAATTGATTTTCTCTCTTCAATTTAATTGATTTTGTCCTTTACTTTGGATTTAATTTTATTTCACTAGTATCCTATAGTGGAAGGTGGATCATGATTTGAGTTTAGTATTTTCTATTATAAATACTTGATGCTATAAATTTCTTTCCACGGACTAATTTAGCTGCATCCTCCAAATTGTGATATGCTGGATTTTTATTTTCACTCAATTCAACAAGTTTCTCATTTCCCTTGAGATGTTTTGTTTAATTACTTAAATATTTGTGGAGATTTTCCAGATATTTTTTGTTATTAATTTATAGCTTAATTCTGGGTTAGAGAACAAATTTTGCATGCTTTCARATCTTTTAAGTTTGTTGAAATTTGTTTTGAGGCCCAGAATATGGTCCATTTTGGTAGATAGTACAAGTGTACTTAAAAAAAATGTGTACCTGCTACTATAGGGTAAAATTTTCATAAATATTAACTACATTGTCTTGATTGTCAGTGTCATACAGAATTTCATGTCCTTACAGATCTCCTACCTTTTCTATTGATTACTGAGAGAGCAGAGTTTTCATCTCCTACTGTAACTATGGACTTGTCTRGTTCCTCTTTCAGTTCTGTCAGCTCCTGTACTATATATTCTGAAGTCCTCTTGTAAGGTGGATACATATTGTGGATTGCCAAGCTTTCTTTGTGAACCGACCCCTTTATCATGATGGAACATTCCTCTTTTTCTTTTTTTTAATAATTGATTTTTTAATGTAGATGAACACAATACATTTTTATTTATTTATATATTTTCATGTGGTACTGAGGATTGAACCCAGTGCCTTACATGTGTGAGGCAAGTGCTCTACCACTGAGCTACAGCCCCAGCCCCACACGCCTCTTCTTCCATAGCGAGATTCCTTGTTCTGAAATCTACTTTGTCTAGTATTAATATAACCACACTCGCTTTCTTTTAATTAGTAATTTTATGGTATACCTTTTCTATCCTTTTTTTTTCTTCTAATCTAGTTATGTCTTATATTTAAGGTTGATTTCTTGTAGACAAAAAATAGCTGTTTTTCTTTTTTATCCCATTTGACTCTGACTCTTTTTTTAAAGATGGACACACAATATCTTTGTTTATTAATTTATTTTTTACATGGTGCTCAGGCTCAAACCCAGTGCCTCACACTGTGAGGCAAGTGCTCTATGACTGAGCTACAGGCCCAGCCCCTGACTGACTTTTAATTACCGTGCTTTGGCCACTTAAATTTCATGTAATTATTGATGTTTATTATTTCTTCACTAGTAATTATTGTTGCTAATAAATATCATAGGCACATCAAGTAAAAAATCTTTTTTAACAAACAACTGATAACATTTAGACTTTAGGGGTAGGGGTTGTGGCTCAGTGGTTCAATCCTCAGCACAACATGAAAATAAAATAAAGGTATTGTGTTCACCTACAACTAAAAAATACGTATTTTWAAAAATTTAGACTTTATTTCCTCGTTTTGGCTTCAAAACAATGCCTTAATGTAGGTATTAATGTTAGCATTTAATTTGATATAAGTTAATAGGAAAGACAGAATATATATCTCAATTTAGTAACTGAAGAATTAAAAAAACTTTAAGGCTGGAATAGAGCTATGTCTGAAGTGTTAGTCCTATTTTAGCCTAGTTCTGTCAGATAAAAATAGTATTGTTAAACATTCATTATTATTGTCATTTGATCCACAGAACAAACCTAAGCACTAGGTAGTGAAAGCATGACAGATGATGAAAATGAGGTAATTCAAAGTGAGTTGTTGAAGGACACAGACCTGGTAAATGAACAACCCATGTCAGAACCCAGAATTTTGACCTCATGCTAAGAAGAGAAAAACTAGAGGCGGTTAATAGAATTTAAGACCCGGGAGGTCAAAGCCACCTGCAGTAACTTGAGGATCAAAAGTTTTAACTACTAATTGCTTAATGGTATTGGTTTAAAATCCAAGTGAAGTAAATTCTCCATATAAACTCACATTTCCTACAAAGCAACTAATCTACATAGTAAAGTATATACATTTATATTGCCACAAAATAATCTGATAATTTAAGTATTCCAAGTAAATCATGTTAACCTTCTTAGTTGATAAACAGCAACAAAATTGCTAAATTGACCATTAGCTATGCCCAGATGATATACTGCATAACAAATACTATGTGTATGTACAACAATAAATACAGTTAGATTTCAGAAAGGGAGGTCTAAAGAACTATAATTTATTCTCACCAAACACTTTCTCTTTCAAGATATAAACTCAGATATGCTTTCTTACCATAATATTGTAGTTGACATTAATAGTCTCATCTTCACTGGGGACACTCATGTGAATGGGTTTAACATCATTCTTTCCTTTCCTTACTACATCATAGATGGGATTTCGAGGTTGCTGACTTTGTAGAATTTTTTTCAGTTGCTTTTCCAGAAGTTGTGGAGCATCGTTAATCACTTCAAAAACTCCAAAGTCCACATTAAATCTTATTGCCTGTGAAAATGTCTGCAATATAAATGTGTGGAAATTTTTTTAAAAAATTTAAACCCAGAAACTGTCTTTAAGAAGACTTGGTGTTTATACATATGCGTGTGCACTTAGTTTTGTGTTCTTAATCATCTCCTTCTCCCATTAGGAGCTTGGAAATCCCTTGGCTAGAGATGAGSGGATCCACCAAGTCCTTCCTTACCAGTGACTTGAGATAAGTGACAGGGTATGATGTGGTAGAAGTTCCCTTTGTATAAACATTTTATTTTTGTTATTCTTTGAAACTAAAGAAAAATGAAGCAATCTCATTCTCTAAGAAGGGGGTGGATTCGCAGGGAAGAATGAGTAAAGGAAGAAGAAATAAGGCTCCCATTATCTCTTTTATCCCCAGGAGCCATAAAAGCTAACAATCTCCCATTTCTAAAAGAGAAAATTAAGGACAATATGTTCTTCATTAAAATTATTTCAACACCATTCCTCTCGCTGTAACCAAAAAAAAAAAAAGTGAAAGAAAATAACACTGTTGAGCTTTTCTCAATAACTACTAAATGCTGACAGCTTTTATTTAAAGTTAGTCAGTTAATATACAATAGTCATGAGTCTTTGAAAGCCAACTTGACAATAAATAGCTCTATGACTTTGGGTAAATCATTAAACATCTTGAGTTCTTTATTTCCATAAAAAGTGAATTGGTGCATTAGTCAAGTCTTGTCCCATTTTGCTCTCTAAATCCAGAGACAGGTCCCTTGTTCATGGTATTCATTTATTTTAGGGTACCTTCAATAAACTGACTACTCATTTTTTTCTAGTTCCRAGTATCCACAGAATATGCAGTTAGCCAAATAGTAGAAAACATTAAACTCTTCCCCATGGATCAGTAAGTGCCCTAAGTACAGCATTAATTCTTACAAGTTTTACTAAGGAATTGCAGGATACACTAGTTATACCTTAATAAATGACAAAATGTCACTGGAAAATTTGAGCTAGAAAAATATATGTATATGTGTATGTGTTTACATTTATATAGAGATGTAAAATAATATCATGTTTCTAAAGTCTGACTGTCTTCCCTTCTAAGGAATTTAAAGTTAATGAACAGGGCTGGGGTTGTGGCTCAGTGGTAGAGCACTTGCCTGGCATGTGTGAGGCACTGGGTTTGATCCTTAGCACCACATAAAAATAAATAAAATAAAGGTACTGTGTTCATCTACCACTAAAAAAAAAAGAAATGTTTAAAAAATAAATGAAGTACAYGATGAACAAACAGAGCTCAAGAAGATTATTGGTCCACGGTCCAAAAAGCCTCAAAGCCAAGCCTTACCTTCAAAATGACAAGCCTGGCTCAATGAATAAGTATGAATAAATTGTGTATTAGAATGTGTATAAGTATGTGTATAAGAATGCATTAATAAGTATATTTATTTTATTGGTTGCCTAGCATCTTTCAAATATGGAGATTCAAACAGGCACCACTTATCTGAATGTGAAATATTATTCCTGAATTATGCTATTAATTGACTGAAGAGATAAAAGAGTGCTGATATCATAGACTGGATTTATCTAGCTAGAGAAGGAAATGAATTAAACTCAGTAGTAAAGGGACATCACAGATCATCGGGATGAGAGAAATAGAAGAGGAAACGTGAAAGACCTGGAAAAGATTTTTTTCCTAGGTCTGAGTATCCACAGAATAAGTGAATCAGCTTGACCTTTGTTGTTTTCCTTTCTTTTTTCTGCTTTCTACCCTCAGACCTGGTAGCAGAACACAAAGCTATGATGGTTTAAAGTACAGAATGCCAACTAGTCAGATCAATAGATAAAGAAAAAAATTCTACTAATCAAGTAAAAAAATGCTCAAGTAAAAAGCATTAGAGGGACTGTGGCACTCTGAGCCCCCCAGTAACCAATCTTACTTAGCAGTACTAAATAGTTAAGGTACAGTGGCAGAAATAACAGGGGAGATAAAAATCTACTGTTCACCGCCATCTACCCTGTGCAGGTATGTGATGGACACCTTAACAGCACTCCAAGTCCTTCCACATTCCTGAGATAGGTCTTTACAGAAAACTAATCTCAAGATGGCTAAGTGATATGATAACCCATAGATTCAGACCCACGAAGTGATAGATCAGCGCTTTGGAAATAAACCTGTCTAGTTCCAAAGAACCTTTGCATTGCTTCACAGACAATAAAACTAACAYGTACTGACCACTTTTTCAACGCCAGGCACTGTGCTAAGTAATAACCCTAGATAGTTAAGAGGATTCCCAGTGTTTGGATTCCAAAGCCTATGCCTCCCTTTACTTTGGGATTACTAGTAAAGGCACAGAAGCATGAAGCAACATGGTGGGTATGGGTGACTTGAAGCAGTTCAACACAGTTGGAAAAKAACTAGAATAGCGAGAGGTAGAAAAGTTTAAGGGATAGAGGAAAGAGACCTGAGGCACATAAGGTAGAAAGGACCAGATCATAAAAGTCTTTGCATGCTATTTTAAGAAGTAAAGCCATTTTTTTGATCCTCTGGGAAATAAGGAGGCATGACTAAATCCTAAGTAGGGCAGTAACACAGTTACTAATGGTTTGTGTTTTAGTAAGTTTTCTGAGGTAGCAATCTGGAGGATGTACTGTCTCCTTGCCAGCTCATGAGCCAAGAAGCTAGACTGCTTCCACCAGATGACAGAGTGACTGTTGTAACAACTAGATTTAGGGTAGTAATTGTTAACTCTCCAATACAAAGCAAAACTATGGCTGAGAAAGGTTAAATGACCATGGTGTATCAGCAAGTTCTATAAGTTCTACAGAACTCTGGATTGATAATTATGAAAAAGATTTAAGCTAGGGAATTTTAATTAGGCCTTAGGGTGAGTGCTGCAGACCAGCTCACTCAGGATCTATTCCAAACTCCTGAAATGCTAGGCCTGGGAAACTAAAAACTATATTTGCAGGACTTCATGTAAGTCCGGATTCACGTGTGATTCAGGTTTTACTACTTATATGCTCTTAAGGTTTGGATATGAGGTGTTCTAAGTTGTTCTTGGTGTTTTGGTCACAGTGATGAAAAGCTAACTAAAAAATAAATTGGTACTAAGAAGGGGGGCGTTGTTGCTATGACTAAATTGGCCAGGTGGTTCAGAAGTCTTTGGAAATGTTTTTGTGGGAGGAGTTTGAAAAAGTTCAGAGATGCAGGCTGGAGAAGCCTGAGAATGTTGGAATGGTGGAGCATGATGGGCGATTCTAGTGGAGCTCAGAAGACCAAAATGTACATAGGAATGAAGATAATAAAAATTGTGTTCATGACATTTCAGAAAACAAGGGTTATATTGGGAATTGAACTAAAGGCTGTTTGTGTTACATTCTGGCAAAGAAGTTGACCTACATTTTTTCCCATGTCCYGAGGCTTTCTGTGAGGTTTAATCTAAAGGTGAYGGGCAATTAATATGGTTGGGAAAATTTCAAGGCAGCACAGCATTTAGGCAGTGGCATGAATAATGATGGATTCATTTAGCCAGGTTTACTGGGACCAGAAAACAGAAGGATTTTTAAAACTTGCAGTTTGGCCAGAAAGTGCATGTAAAAGTGGGGCCAAGGATGGTGTGCTTGTTAAAGAGATTATAGCCACTAAAGAGATGCTAAATACTTTGCATAGAAACAATGGAAAAAATGCCTTGAGGGCATCCTTGGCCATCCACATCACAGGTTCAAGGGTATAAAAGTAAAATAAGACCTCGGGAGCATCCTGCTTGCACAGCGGGAGCTAGGAAGTTGTTTCACTGTGCTCAGCCACTCAGGGGCAGCTGCAGTTATGATCCCAGGGGCCAAATTACCACTCAARCTGGCAGCAGACCTTAGCATTGTCCATGTGGTGCTAGTTCTTCAGGAATGCAGAATACTGGAGTTAGGGGTCATGGGGGCTTCCACTGAGATTTTGAGGGAAGGCCTGGGAGGCTAGGCAAAGTGTAGCAGGGTTAAAATCCCTATGGGCTGCCCCTGAGAGGGTAGTACATGAAGCTGTGAAGGTGAAACTTAAGTGAGAATGGAGACCCCAGGATTAAGAGGTGCCAGTAATGTAGACTGTCTGCTGAGAAAAACTGTGGCTACAGAGAAAGCCAAGCTAAACTGAGAGGCCATGAGTGCTGAAGCCAGAAAGGCTGAAGAGGCAGGGCTGCCCAAGCCCTTTGGAGACCACATCTCTTTACCATGTGCACCAGACACCAGATGTGGGGCTACTGAACTTTTTTGCCCAGCTGGGTTTCAGTCTTGGTTTGATCCCATCCCTTTTTTGTATGCTCCTATTCCCCTCCTTTGGAAAGGGCATGTTCACTCTGTGCCATTGTATACTGGATATATGTCACTTGCTTTTGATTTTTATAGTGGCTCATAGCCAAGAGTTTGCCTTGAGTCTCAGATGAGACTTTGGATTTGGACTTTTAAGTAATGCTGGAACTATTGCCTATGGAGACTCTTGGAATTGTTCTAAAGGTATTTTGCAATGTGAGATAGACAATAGCTTCTGGGGGCCAGGGGTGGAGTATTATGGTTTGGATATGAGGTGTCCCCAAAGGCTCCAGTGTTAATGTGGGAATATTTAGAAGTGAAATTATTGGATTGAGGGCTGTAACTAAATCAGTCCATCCTAGTTTGAATGGACTAGCTGGGTGGTAACTGTAGGCAGATGGAGCATGTCTGGAGGAGGTGGACCACTAGTGGCATGCCTAGAAGGGTGCTTCTCTGTGATCCCTCCCCGCTCCTCTCTGCTTCCTGCCTGCCTTGAGCTGAGCAGCTTTTTCTGCCGTGCCTCCTCCCATGATGTGCAGCCTCAGCTTGGGTCTGGAGGAAAAGAGTCAGCCATTTATGAACTGAAACCTCTGAAACAGTGAGCTCCAAATAAACTTTCCCACCTCTAAGTTGTTCTCATCGGGTACTTACTTGGTCACAGTATGGGAAGCTAACTAACACATATGGGCCCACAAACATATCTGAATACTGAGCCTAGGTAAGTGGTGAAAGAGGAGAGGTATATATCCATTCTTAGA